AATATTGGCAACTGGTGGTGAATGGTTTCTATTGTATCAACCCGGATCGGTTACTGGTGGCACAGGCAGTGTTAGAAGCTCTATGGACTTGGTGTGGATGGTAGCTGAAGTATTGTCGATGCCAAGATTTGAGGAGCGTAACAGAACACTGCAGGACTACAATAAGACACCGATACTGTAAACATTATCAAAGTTTAGCTTTGCCTTAATTTCCTGCCCCGAAGGTATTGTATGGACCAACTTGGTTTTACGTAACTGTGTATTAAGCATATTGTTGTATTTCGCATAAACGGATAATAGATTGAAGTCGTTGATTTGTTGATTAACGTGATTTATTAGTGATAAGTTCTTGTGCACAAGTTTCATGTTAATTTCTGAGTATGAATATCTGTTGATGAGGTCTAGAGAATAAAATAGCTTGGTTAACTGTATGCACTTTGTCATCACCATTCATTGTGTGCTCCCGCGTGCTTAGCCAATCCTCGGATCTGTGACACACGTTTATAATGAGAGAACAAATTCGGTTTGAAACTTCCCTATAAACCAGTGGACCAGAACAGCACTCATCGAAACTACTCAATTTACATGTAAATCAGTCGACGACGAGGAAACTGAAAAGTATCGCTTTCCAAATAAGGAAGGCAAGAGTAGTACAAAATCGACAAGCCAAAAATTGGTATAACTGAAATTATTGCTGAAATTCATCTAGACATTGTCGCTAATGATTTTTAATTACGGTTCATACCTGCTCCAGTTCTACCGACAATTCCTATCTTCTGCATTGACTCTACTTTGCATGAGACACCTCTTAAAGCAAGAGGGAGGTTTTCACGATAGCGCATCTTCAATTCTTGTAATTCTATTGTACCTGCGTGAGGCCAGTTATCGGGCGGTCTATTTTCAGTTACTGCTGGTCCTTCAGATATTAAGTTCTTGAAAACAAACAATAACAGTCAAAATGTACTTGCAAACATAGACAAATAATATACATCTCAATAATATACACCTCGTGTTGTATGTTCATCATTTTGTATAAGAAACCTAACATAATTCCTCCCTTCATTAAATATATCGTTTCAGTAATTATAAGGTAACCTTACTTTAATATAATACTGTATTCGTTCAACTGATGAAAATCTGGCTTCACAGTCTGCAATCATCCTCACAAGAAACTGCAAAGCTCCTGTCAGCTGAAAATTATGTAACAAAAAGTATTAAATGCATTGTCATCTGTGGTAGAACAAGTTACTGGTTCATCTGTATTGTACTAAACCTTCTGTTAGCGACCAGTTTTCTTCACTGTTCGACAGGAAAGAACTCTTTACTCGAAACAGTCTTTGTTTTACCACAAGGATAGTTTACTGTTATCAGAACCAGGTGGCTCTACCAATATCTAAGTGGATAGGTCAACGTTATTCTCACTATAAAAAACGTGCAATCAAACTAACGATTATCAGATCGACGGGCTGTAAGACATTTTGACTGTTTAGGGTTTGCTTTTAGTCGTAACATACACAAATTTTGTCGTTTCGTTCTTGTATAATTGAAATGTAGCACTTTACAATGTATCTCAAAAATGCTATCAAACGAATGACATTTAAATTCTTTTCTTTTCAATAATAGTCCTTAAAGTGTTAAATCAACAAGCAATGCCCTCCGAGAATTTACTATTATATATGTATATATTATATGTTATTTATGATAATAGATATATAATATAATTGCATTAATATTATATCCCATTGCACATTACAACACACTGTTTCAATTGAAATCATACTCTCGAAGTTAAAAACATGTGTATTCACTGTATTTACCATCAAATAATTAGTGTTATTTTTGGACAAGTGTTTGACACACATAGTAAATACACAAAAAATAACTTACCGGGACATAAATGTGCCATTAAAGTGTTTATTGATAGGACATTTATGAATTAAACCAACCATATGCAAACAGCACAATTGAGTGAAAGAAAATAAAACTGTAGTCTGGGCCTCGTAAGTAAAGATTATGGTGTATATGCCATTTATGTAACTAGAATAGCACGAAGGTGACGTAATTGAACGCACAATGAGACGGTCCATAGTCTTCAGAGAATAGTTTCATGTTTTAACGGCGGTGGTGGTTAGAATCACATCTGAGCATTTTCACATTACTTTCACGAAAACTGTTTTTAATTTGAAACAATGCAGAAAGCAAAATCATCTACGATGATTCAACTCAGAACACCATATTATAAATGTTTAACAAAGTGCTAAGGTATAACACACACCTGTGTTTATTGGAGTAACTAAAACACTTTTTCTCCCAAAGTGTTTTAAGTTAATCGCTTCTTGCAATAATTACACGTGTAGTGTTTAGAACTAAAACACAATGCATGTTTATGTATGCAACATGTATACAATACTTTTCTTCCAAACTGTTTTATTTTGAGGACTTCAGAAAACAAATATACATGCAATGTTTCAGACTAAAACATAGAATATGCATGCTTCATATGTGTTTATTACAGGACAATTGTGTAAACTATGTAGTCTACGACACTCATTTATCTTAGTAACAATGTTTATTATCGACTGATTACACAATATTTATTAGAAACACTGCTCACACGCCTCCACTGTCAGCTGATATGCTGTGCATGTAGCGATAAATGAATTGATTTTAGTATTTATCATTATATATTCATGTATTTTGTGGCTGTGCATACAATTTACCGGCGGCCGCAGATGAAATGAAAGTTATTCAACTGGATGGCGTAGCGCTGGACAGACATTAATTGCCTGTAACCGAATCAATAGATTCAGTTTCTTCACAGCTAGTATTCTATTGACGTAGCCTAAAAGTTGGATCCCACTTAATTTGGTGATTACCACATACCTATGCTAATTTGCGAATATTTGAAACGAGCCCCTCTAAATCTATAATAATACATAATTATTTCAATATGATATAGAAATACCATTAATACAATATAACTAATATTAAGCAATAATTTAGGCTGCTCCTTCTTTTTAAGATACACTTCGTATACGATGAACACAATTATCTGTTGCGTGTAAACTTGATTTAACTGATTTAACTATACTTCAGATATTCCTTGCAGATATTCTTCAGAGACATGGTTTGATTTACCAAATGATATTATTCGAACATTGGGTAGAATTTAACAGGGTAACACAGTTAATTCTTTTTAATGGTGTAGGGTCATAATTTCATAATTTCCGGGTTTCAATTTCATGTGATATGTTTCTGGTTCAAATATCGCATTGCTCGAAACAATAATGATAATTATTTAAACACTACTCACTGAATTATTTGTTTCACTGTTTGTTTTTACCAGGAATGTGCTTAGATATGTTACATTCGAGACAACATTACCACAAAGATAGAATGAATTGGGCAAATTCATTTATGTCAATGAGAAGTTATTTGTCATTGTATTGTTCAGCTTATTACTCATTTGTCATCACAATTATTATTATTCTATTGTTTCAGTAAACACACTTATTCAGCTGCACATAAATAAGTCAAAGACTTTATTAATACTTATTTTTACAGCAACACGTCTTTTTAAACGTTATACCTATCATATTAATGTTATTATTAAATTTAGTAATACATATTTACTTGATTTTGTTTATTGTATGCTATGGTTACTGTGCAAAGTGCTTGATGCGAAACGTATCACTCGATATATTTTTCTAATTAACACTATCCAAAATGATTTGTATGAACATGTTATTAGTGACAATACATTTTAAAATGTGTTCCTGTTTCAAGCACTTTTCAATATTCTGGGATATTAAACACTTCATTGAATCATATTCCACATGTCGTGATCACAATCACAAAATATATGTGTATAGTGAAATCACGTTTAAATGATTTTTTTTTCACTATAGGTGTTTGGGAGGAACAGCCGTGCGTGTCCCTTGTAAAACAGTGATGTTACTATGCACTAAACACACACACAAAAAAAAGAACTGAAATCAGTAGTTGTGAATCGTATACATAAACCATTAACATGCTGCGACGACTTCGGTGATCAGAATATATTATTGAGTATAGCAAACTACTTTAATCTGTTATTGCTACGTGTAATGCATGGAGACTTGTCTACAATATGCATTGGTATAGCAATCTTCTATCACTTGTACCATGTGTGCGAGCGATATTTCAATATATGTAATGAGTCATCTGTATTGCTTATATTAGGGTAATTCCACTTTGTACATTAAATTAAAATGCTAACCTAAGGTCACCTGTACAAAGGATGGTATAAAATAGTATATAACCTCACCCGCACTGCATATGATAGGGCTATTCCACTATAAGATGGAGGTACATGCCCATGTGTTAGTACTGTCATCAGAGCAGCAATAAATGAAGTTATCATGCCAATTACATCTAGCCGCACAGCAACCCATCGATTTGTCAGATAGAACAAGACGAATGGAACTGAATTGCAATCAACTAAATCTGCAAATCTGGACATAAATTAGTTACATGTAAAATTAAAATTTATTTTGGTTTAAACACTCACACTAGTTGGTCGTATGCCGGTGGCGTCATGGGCTCAACTATTCACAATAGGTAGATTAGTGGATAATACACGCCGCTGATGTCACTCAAATCACACTGACTAAAAACCAAGTGATATATAGTAATAATAATATGAATGAAATTCAAAAGGAATATATGAAGCCAACTCACCTTTTGCTGAATTCCCCTTGTTTTCCATATGCACGAACAGTAGAAACTCCTTGTGTAGTTGCAGTCATGTGTGAAAGCCAAAGTGACCTACTAATATGGTCAAGTCGCTTTAGGTCACGCATTGCATGTCGAAAGTATGAAAAAGCTACAAGAAAAACTATGCTAAAAAGAATAAAAGCTAACAAATACCACGGAAATACCAAAGATATAGACAGAAAATAAAACAATATAGTGCAAAATAGAGTAATCGTCTGTGTCATATTAATCGGCAAGTGTACATCAACTGTAAAATAAACACATAATAATGTTATTTATTATATTATATTGTTTTAGTATTTGACCCAATTGAAAATATGTGTTATCACACAAGTCTGCATGCATTTCAGTGATGTATGCTAAAATCCAGTTAAAGCAGGGCTATACAAATCGTATCACCATTCCCATGTATGTTAGAGGAACAGAGCAAATGATCTTTTCACTGCAGAAATTCATATTTGGTTTCCAAATCCCACATAATTGGTGTCTGAGATACGCTTATATTTGTCTCAAAACCCTATATTGGAATCTGGGCATGTTTTAAATGTAAAATATTGTGTCTTACTGAGCAATCTGATCTATGTATTTCGTGTTGTAATGTGCTCTTAGACTAACATATGCTATGAGATATCAATATATCTTATCAATAATTATCCATTATTGTATTCTAATATACATTGATAATATAGCCAAGAAGACCATTACTGTTGTAAATGATGCTGGTGTATTTATAGCTAAATCTATTGACAAAGTAGATTTTAATTTGTTATGATAGTAGTAGTATCAATTGGAAGAACAAGTTTTTAAAATTGAACATTAGAAACATCCTGCTCACCTTCATCTAGATCTTTTGAAAATCTGTTTATAATTCGTCCTGAAGGTGTAGTATCAAAGAAAGTCATTGGACTTTGGAACACCTTCTTGAAAACTTCGTTATGCAATCTAGTTGCCGCTTTCAGTGTAATCTGATTATGACAGTTAGATACATCTCATTATAATATTGATAATAAATACAAATTTGAATGATGTTTGAATATATATCGATTGTAACAAAGCAGGTGGTTGGTATTAGTGGAAGTTATAGCGTCAACATTAATATCAATATTTGTGTATCCGCAGATGAGTGCATACATAATAAATAATTATAATACCATGTACGATTTTTTTTTCAAATACCCATGCACTCCTGTCAAACAAACGGACGAGCTACACAATGGAGCCATGTATATGTGTAAAACGAGATTGTGGCACTGACCTTGACATATAGAACACATTTGACAATTGCAAACGTAATCATAATTACAATTATAATACTATACGCATAACCAAAATATGCTGTATCTGTATTCTCTGTTATAAAGCCAGTAGTAAGGGTCTCATTTGTATATGTGCTATTGGTATCCTATTTGAGAAGAAATATAAACGTATACAACCTGTAAATATGAAATCGAATGTTTGAACACATATTTCGTGTAATAACAAATAATGTCATGTTTGCTTTAGTACAATTATGATTTACCTGATTAGTAGTGTGAGCAATCCAGTAACCAAGCCACCAACTACTAGCGGCAACACAACCAGTTACAATAACTATTGTGAATATTGTGAAGATTGATATCAGATATCCTCCACCGTATTGTATATAAGCATGATACGTTGCCAATTTTACCCCACCTTCTGCTTGCTCTTCTTTTGTCATTAATTTACCACTTTCTAGTTAAGTATATTACGTCAACAAATCGATTAATAGAGTAAAGGAGCTACTGTTTACTATTTTTGAATTTATTTAAAACATAATTTCACTAGTACATACCCTCCTTCTTATTATCATGAGGAATGCCAAATGATATCCGTGATGTGTTGCTGAGACTCATGGATGAATCACTGTGAGCACACGTGGCATATGCATCAACTGAAACTGCAGTATTTATATTTGAAATGCTATCAATTGTGTTATTCAATTCTGTAACTTCTTTACTGTGGAAACGCTTTATTAAATTTGCATAATGACCACCATAATTAATTAATTGCTGATGTGTTCCACTTTCATGAATTCTGCCATCTTGCACAACTAGAATTTTGTCACAGCCTCTCAAATACTAACAAATAAGAAACAAAACAAAAAACATTGAATGTATGCAATACTACACCTCGCGTATTTCATTTTTTTTATTTGACAATTGCGTGTAATCAGAATTTTCTTTGAAAAAAGTGATACAAATTCACCAGTATCACGACGGTGTATACAGTCATATAAAGTGGTATGTCAATAACACTTACTATATTATCATCTAAGCTTGGAAATTAATATGGAGCATGAAAACACATAAAAATCTGCACTCACTCACCTGCAACTGATGAGTAACAAATAACACTGTTTTACCATGAAGAGCGTCCATTACATAATGTTTTAAAATGTGCTGTCCAACGTGTGTATCCACTGCACTCAGTGGGTCGTCTAGTAAGTATATATTGTTACCAGCATATAATGCTCTTGCTAGGCTCACTCTCTGTTTCTGACCACCACTTAAATTTATACCTCTCTCTCCAATCTAAAAAGCATTTACAAGCACAAGAACATGAATGATTTAGATTCACAAACTCGACATTTATGGAGTTATTGCCTATATACATGGTATTCAAATTAACTGGACAATTATTTAAGATGATAGTGACAATTTAATTCAATAAATACCTCAGTTTCACTGCCATTTGGTAAGATATCAACATCGTCTTGAAGACATGATGCATGTATACATTTCTCATATAACTGCTTATCAAATTGAAGACCAAACAATATATTTTCTTTAAATGTGGCATTAAAAATCCATGGTTGTTGGGAGACGTAAGCCATGCTACCATCAATGGCAATTTTACCGGTTATTAGCCGCATTTGAGACAAAATGGCCGATATAAGCGATGATTTACCACTACCTACACTACCACATATCCCAATCAGCTGACCCTGGAATACAATATGCGAAATTGTTGAATATTGTTTCCACTGAATAGAATTCAAAATCGTTCTCTACTGAATACAACTATTGAAGTCTCAATGTTTTAATTCATTTGTTCAAACTAAGATTTTATATCGAATAGAGCAACCGATAATGGAATTAATCGTCAAATTAGCCAATTGTTATCCACGTACAAGTTCCAATGCAATTGAACAATCATATCAGTTTATTTCAATTTGTTTATTTCGTCAATTAATGTCTTTGATTCAATGAATATTAGTATTATTTCCAATAACATATCATTGCGTATATGTCTCTGCATGTCAGCACATGTTATTATATGATTTGATGAAATCCAAGCTTGCCTGATCGTCCGATCGAATCAACACTTGATCGTCATGACAATATAACAAAAAGTGAATAAATTGCAGGCGTTTTCATAACTTTACATTTATATTAATTTGTTTTATATGTTATATTCATCATATAAGGCATATACATAATGTATTGGAAACGAATCCAGACAAATTCGTACAAGATACTATAACTTAATTATATTACGTTATTATTTTTAAATAAAGAGTACACACAGTAGGTCAACAGTATACATCACAGTATATTTGCATATAGTCAAGTATTAGAATTTAAATTCTACAAAAACAATTTCAAAAGTTTCTGAATCAAGAAATGCAAAGAACAGTTATACTTTACAAGCATAATATACAGTCACCTTTTTAACGGTTAAGTTGATGTCAAATAATATTACATTGTCTTCTATCTGTTGACTGGTATTACCAAGATAATTGCTCGTCATTTTACCACTATCTTGAGGTTGAGATGTACGATCATTTTGTCTTTTTTTATTCCATGAAAAATGTGCTGAGGACAACTCGATTGCATTATACTCATGATCAGCTTTTCTTGTATATGTTTGGATTTCCTCAATCAGCAATACTTTCTTTTAATGCAAGTTAAAAGTTTATTAACAAGGGGGAGCAATTGGCTGCAAAACTGCAAATTAATATTCATTAACAATCGCTTTCCGACAGCCAACATGGTGATAATTCTAAATTGACTGATCCTCTTGTCACAAACTGAAAAGAATATGTTTCTGAGACATGTTTTAGATCAGACGCAAAATGTTGAAAGCAACTATTTTTTTTTCTTTAACTTGATCATAGCAAGTTACGAAATTCACGGATTATGTAGAGGCTCGTTAATATTTAATTATTTCAAAGTTGTGCATGTTTTTAAATGATTTTTACCCGTGAAAAGTTACCTAATTAGTATATGTTTTAGCATATGTTCGTGAAAGTGACGTTGCTGTTGCATCATTGATGGCCTACGGACGACTGAGCTCGAAATGTACCAATCTCCCGCGTTCACAATTTACCAATCTCCCCGAAAGTACAAAGTTTGTAAAACTTACTTTCATTCTTTCAGCTGCAATAACAGACTCAGAAATATATTTTACTGATAGTGGGAGTGTTGACACCATTGTTCTTGTCAGACCAAAAATAGCAACTACTCCATATGCCTTACAATAGAAATGTAAATTATTGGTTTTCTTACAGATTATTCTCATGGTAATACCACTAGTAAAACAGAACAAATAACTGAATTCAACAATTTTACAAGTTGGCGCGCATGTGCATGCATATTAAATATAGTGATACATTACATGTGACTGTAATCGGTGTTCTAAAAGTGTATTGATGTTTTTAAAGGCACCATACTCCAAAGGCAAAAAACAATATTGATACACATGTAGAGGAGATGTGGAAATGCAATCCAATTAGTGGCCTCCTCCATTCGATATATATATAGCCCCAAGACTGCACATATATACTAAAATCATTTTAAGAATTTATTCTGTTATGAATATATTTAGAATAATAAGCTGGTAATTATGCTGCATAAAAGTTTGAGAACAGAACAAGATCGCCATGCCTATTTAGCTGTTCTATAATTACAAAATATCGAATAACTCGCTTCATCGGTATTTTCAATGTGTATTGGTTATTGTAAATTAATATTGTACTAGTATATTCCCCACCGAATGTAATTAGTTCAAAAACACTTTGAATTTATGTTGCAAATAAATACGGTTTTTTCAAAGGTGGTATGCTTCAATAGTATACACTTGTACTGTATGTAATATTCTGTTTAATTTAGTTCAGCGCGGTAATCAATCGCGCGTTTTTGCAATAGTTATGTAATTCCAAATTTTCCTCTTTTTCAAGACTACGTTTTCGAAACTTACCGTGGCTGCTGTAAGCTCATTTCCGGTCAAAACGTGTACCAAGAAAGTTAGAAATACTGACAAAACTTGCACAATGGGATTGATAAATACATTAGCAGAACATAAATAACCAGCTTTTTCCAGGAAGGTCCTTTCAGTGTTTCTAATCTCTGAAGAGAAATGTACACACTCATTACATTCAAACAAATGATATTGAACAATACTTTAATTACATAAAATAATCGGCAGAATATAATACAACTACTTTTCCATCATTCTGCATATTACTTCCACAACATTGGAAAGCCCACACCTTAATTCTGATTGGGGTAGGTTTAAGTAGATCAATCTTCACTGGTGGTCATTTTCTATATGACAAAACAGCAACCCGATCCAATATTCATTTCATAACTAACAATTAATGCTCAATGTTATCGTACAGTAGGAATTCTAGAGGAATTCTGGTACATACCACAACAGAAACATGCTACAAACGAAACTGATTTTCACTGAAACTAGTGGCCTCGTTTGAATGTATAATTCACATATGTTGCGAGTTTGCCCGTACCCACTTGCTACACACCACTGACATATGTACTTCACCAGAAAGAAAAATAGAAAGCCCATAGTAACATGGAGAGAAGACATTAAGTCATTACCCACAGAATGCAGTCTAGAGTGTGAGCATAGATTGATTGACACAACTGTACAACTTTAATTAATGATTTTTTTTTATTAGCCCTAAATACTCTCACGTCTATGATGAATACTGTTTGTAATTCTGATATCAAATTATCTTGGCAAAGTCAAATCTTGCTTGAATATCAACAGTTTTGTAGCCTTAGCAACTATAAATATTTGAACATTGTAACAATTCAGCATAAAAAGCAATCCCTCTGCTAATAAACTTACAAGAACTCACCTTGAACTTTCTTGGTTAATAAATGATCCCATGCATACATTTTAATCAGTGCAATACTAAGAATCATTTCGTTAGTCATGCGAACCCTTCTGTCTGTTATCTTCACTGTATTTATTCTAAACTTGGAAATTAGTTTCCCAAAAATGACCTAATGACGAACAATAAAACATATGCAACTGTCATAAGATTTACTTCTACTAAATGAAAGAAAGAGGAAGCTGGTAAACAAACAATGGAAATACATATGTACAAATAATCAGTGACCAATTCAAGTCTGCTAGTGTGGGACTATGACCAAAATAACAATGTCTGCAAATAATGAAGGTAATGCACTAATGATCATGATGGATCGCGTTATGCTGTAACAATATTAAGCAAATGTGAAAGGTAAATTAGGCCTTATAGAGGTTCTAGAACCCCACAAACGATATCTTACACCCAGCTTTATTTTTACATGTAATGCCACAATGATCCCAGCATATCACTCATCTCATGGGCAGTATATATTGTAACACTTGTAATTACCATACAGGGTGTGTCATATAGACAGAAAATAAGTAAAAATACCCATGACTATCCTCTTTGTTGTAGAGCATTGGAACATTGACATAGATGATGATGATTCGGTACTGTACACTCAGGTACAATTGTGTAAATGATTAAGGATATTCGGATGGTGAAATGCTACAGTGGACAAACCACAGTTTACTAGACGGAATTGCATCTAAATAAAGTGTTTTATGAAAGTGATATTTTAGTTATGTTTGCCTACAATGACTGAATGGGTAGTCAGTCATGTTGGAGACTTTCTGTTGTAATTTCTAAACTCCTTCATTTGTAATTGAATATTTGACATGAACATATTTATCATGTGTTATTACAAGAAAATAATGTTGAACGATGAGTTTTTAATTCAAAACACTTGAGCTTATGAAACAACACCTATGTTAAGGGTGGCGGCCATTCCAACGGGGTGAGGTCTAATGGCAGGCTGAAGGTTCTTTTAATTCAGTTCAGTGACATTCACGGCTGATGTATAATCAAGAATATCACTAATATGTAGTTCTGGCTTAAAACACTGCATATTAAAAATACAATGATAGTCACCAGGAACATTTAGTGCTAGTAGAAGTCAGTAAGGATAATATGCAGGTCATGGTCAGATTTCTAGTGAGCGTAACAGTTGACAGCAGAATGGGACTCAATATTGTTTACATCAGATATCGGTTCATTGTGAACTCACCTGTATTGGCCATGCGAGAAAGAAAACTGTTGCACCAATCAATGCAGCAGGCCCAAGTAATATATAACTGTATATAACCATTGCTATTCCCAATGTTGGTCCTGTGACCGCAAATACTCCCATATTTATGGCATCAAATATACGCTGGGTATCATTAGCACATAAATTGATGATCTGCAGATTATGAGCAATAATTAATTTTCCAGTATTATTCACAGAATTCCACCCAATATAACAAATGCAAATGTATATTTCACGTTATACAACTATTTATTTCCTTTTTTTAATACAAAAACATGAATATTGTTCAAATTATGTTTTACTATTATTATTGAGTAACATGAGTTACTATAACATGTCAATTTAATGGCATTGGTACCGACCTGCCCTATTGTCTGGTCCTGTAAATTCCTGATACGCAATACTTTCGAATATATTGCAACCAGAATGGCACTTCGGAGTCTCATCCCAACTCTGTAGGTATGATTAAAATTTAATGCATTCATTGCAGAGCGCATCGCTTCCAGTGCTAGCATTGTAAAACACAGACCTAGTGCATATGGAAGATTCGTCTCACTCCCTTGTATGTACTTCAATATATGGAATATAGTCACCTGCAATAACAAAAATAAAATTAATATCAGAGAGATTGCTTTTATTCTGAAAACAACTATTTTCAGAGATGGTATGATTGTTATTCATATGGCAGTGTATATTGTGATCCCAGAAAAGCCTTTGAATTGTAGAAAAACCATACTTAAAATGGCTATCGGACGCGTAAGCTGAGTCCAGCTTTCTAAAATATCCAACTTGTGGGTTCGGTATAATACATGCCGCATTATGCAATAACGTATCCCTATAATGACATAATGTTTAGTATCAACATATTGCATGTTTAGGATAGACATTATAAACATATATTACAAGAATTAAATAAATAGAGTGTTTACTAATTGCAATTGGTATTGGCAGTGCTTTAACCGTAAGATACATCCCTGGTAATCATCTGATCGTGCCAACGGATGAAGCGATTGGCTGATCACATGTTTACTCTTCAACTCCTTAGAGTTTAATTGTAGAGTTTTTCCAGTATCTGTAACAGAAATCAGAAAAATGTGGACAGATAGGCGTGCCCCCCTGTTGACGGTTAGGATGAATGAAGATGGACTGTCTATAATGAATGAATGTGTAACCCATTGGCTCGAATTATAGTATCTCTAAGTGATATCGTCCAATGAATTGAATACAAAGTTCCCTGAACACCGCTCTGTTCACGACGCTATGCTGCATATAATACGTCGTTGTATTCAAATAAGCGAATGCAGAAGAGGCATGGGGTAAGTGTTTAATAACAACATTTACTAAGAATACATTTTTTTAAAGACATGCGCTGCGTGTGTTCGATTGCTTCGTTTCACCGGGTATGCACGTTTATAGACTCTGAAACGAGGATTTTGTTCTGCTATTGTTTACCACAAGCCGTCTCCGTGATTGAATGTCTCAATTTACATAAACAAATGCAATTGTTCCTATTTTCAGGTTTTTTTTTTACATCTTTCGTTTGTCATCGAAGTAGTCAAATCGCCTGGCTTATGTAGCATTGTACAATAAATTCTATGTAGACTGCATATACCATATATCCTTTATGTTTTGCAAATACCCGTAAAATACAGTTACACTACGACTATGCATTATCGGGATCATGGTTCATTGGGAACTATGAGATAATTGTACTAGGAACTAGCATGACTTTGGTAGCCATCGGAATTGTTCGCATAATGCAAATAAACTTACTGGAACTATTCACAATTTCGACAGGGAGGTAAAATATTGAAAAAGAAATAGAGAGGTAAGGAATTCCGGTTTTGTCTTTTAAAGTTATTTGTCATATACCTTTAGTGAGATCAAATTTGTCCAAGTAATTACCACCACCAAATTGCTCAAACAATGCCACGGTCTACCTAGTACCATGGATGAAGTATTTGTGTATATGATAGCTTTATCATAACCTAAACAGATTTGCATGGATCAGCCAATTCGTATAGTCATTCCACCCAATTCGTTCCTTAACACAGAGGGGTCCCTGCCATTGTATCTGGAAATTATCGTTGACTGTAGGGATCAACAACACTACCATCCTACCCATGGTACAACATTTGGCAAACATTGGCCTATTATCAATTGCTTTCTCAGTTCTATCTACCCAATTTTTGCAAGTCTCCTCGCATCAATTTTGTAGGTCATTGATGTATTTATATATACCCTTAATTATAGAATTGTTATCTCTTTTGTCCATAGCTCCCGAAAGTTTGTAATTAAAATTCTCCAAGCTGACTTGCATAGCTTCTCGGTATGCAATGAAGTTGGCTATGTAATTGTTCTAGTCTGTGGGCTGATTTCTAAACATGTGTTTGAGCATGGATTTAAAGACGCCATATTTCTTTGTCACCAACAAACTGATTACGTTGGTCAATGAGAACTTCCTGTGGTACACCAAAACAACGATATATATAAATAGTCACCAGATCATCAGTTTCCACCCTGGTCTTGTAATTCATGCAATGTGTCAGTGTCTCCACAAAACCATGATTCTTGATTTATAGTATAGCTGTTTATTGTGTCCAATGTTTTGAGACATACATACCATGCATTTTAAGGCATTTTATTACAATAAAATCAGGATTTATAGAAGTATATTTTGGAGGAATACAATGTCTCGTGAATATGTATGTTTCAAATAAAAATAATTACAATACTCACTGTAAGGCACACCAACGTTGTATTAAATATCAGCAGAAAAACAATACTGAGCGAAATGTGAAACTTGATAAATCGGATAAAAACAGTAAAAAGGGACGATTTTTCTCTTCCACGCTTTTCAAGCTCATCTTTCCACAGTCGTTCAAATCTGAGACACAAAAGTAATTACATAAGGTACATCAAATTATGCAAATTGTTAACTATGCTAGTATAATTAGTATATATAGTACAATTTGTATACAATATCGCTCACACATTTTCTGTAGTGTTGTCATCATATAAATAATATATACCTTAGTCCATGATACTCCGCTGAGTCCGATTTTCCGCACTGCCAAAGATCATTTGCAGTCAGTCCCATCTTAAATGACTTTTTGATTAACGGAGATAACCATGTTATATACACGAATGCAAATAAACCAACATTGTCTATTGGCAGATATTGAGTTTCGCTGAAAAAGAAATAAAAACACTATACTATTTTGTATACTATTTTGGTTTCGTTGCAAGAAATTATTCTGTACACATACCGCGTGTGTATATTAATAATAACGCATATTAGTTTGTATTTCATGGTTTTTTTCTCTTTGCTCAAAAATATATAAAACTGTATATATGACGATATATGCCATCAGATCTTTCAATAAACCTCTTGTGAGTCAGAATGAGTTACTCGTGACATTTCGAAGAAACGATATATATATATATATATTTGCATTTACATGCAATAGTGTCTACCACTGCATCACTGGTATAAATATATTAAATCATGATGTAGCCATCGTTAATAAAAAAATGTCGTTTAGAGGATATGCTTTTGAATAATTAGCACCACTGGTCAATGTAAATTTAGATGAAAAATTGCAATTTTAGTGTATATTGAAATGATTTGGTCTGTCTAGATCAATTGCTGATTCAAGCTTATTGTCATGAAGTTTAGTAGCGAAGCCTCATAAAATACATTTCTTTAAATGTTTAAGGCTGTCACAAGTTGTAGTATTCTTATTAAGAATGTCCATCAGTTACTGGGTCAATCTACCCCAATTATAAACTTACTCTTAGTAACGAAAACACAGATTATTAAAATTACCTAACGATGGTTTTCTTATAATTCCTTTGCATTTAGTATAGATCCAATTATATGGAGTTGTCTGTGTGTGTGTGGCTTTGTGTAGTTGAACTGAAGCCCATTTCATCGTCATCTGTCATCATAGTCAATGACAAACTTATTTTAGGAATGTTCGGATGGTCAATCGGATAGTGATCCTTGATTTCTGGGCTAGAGGACTTAATGTCAGCATTGATTTTTCGACAGTACCTTTAGCTTGAAATATGTCTGAATCTCATGCAATTGTGTTTATTCTAGTGTACTTGGAAAATTTGTATTCACTTAACAACGAATCAAATAAAAAAAATATATGAAAATGAGATAGAAATAAAACTATATATTGATGAGTCAGTTGATTTATAGTTGCATCCTTTAATGTTATGGTCAATTAGTTTCGTTTACATAAGTCCTTTGTGGACTACGAGTTTCGTATATGTATTAATATACAGCTAGCACCAACAATAATTTGCCGTTCCGTAAAAAGCCGTATCTTAGTTTACATTGGACTAGAATCACTGTAGCATGCGATGGAAATATAATCTCGTCGCGTACGCAAATGCTCACAGAGCGAGAAAATTGTTCGTTGTTATTTGAGGCTATAATTTCCCATATCATAAATGAATATTTTACCGGGTTACGTGTTTTACTTTACTCCCTTTGATATTTACAACTGGATCTCTTCTATCAAAGGAATGGTGTTGGTGAGGAATAGACAGGTCAAAGTCATGGCACTGCAACGCTTCTGCATAAGAGGTTCGACGATAGTCCATATAATGATCTGGAATTACATCCATGTTTTCATTCATTGAAATATCCTATTAACAAATCATAATTCATTCATGTTGAATGTAATAAATAATGTCAGCATAGGTCTGTAAATCAAAATTATATACAGTTAATAACATACATAACCAATACTTAAAGACATCATATTTTGAGGGAAAATAAAACCCCATACACAAGGCTATGATATATTTGTTTTCTCGAAATGATTTTCTAGACCAATGTGTAGCCATTTGTATATAATACTTTGTAATATGTTGCCCAAGATAATGCCCATACTATTTCGAATTATGAGCATCCATTAAAAACAATGTATACGATCAAGTGCTCTTCAAAGATCTTCAAGTAAGATGGGAACCTATGTAAATATAATAATTAGTTAATAATTAAAAGACCCTAGAATTCACTTTAAAAACATTGCAATTTTAGCAGTCCCCCATGCTAGTTATTGACTTATACCAATGCTGAATAAATTAAGCCAGGATAACACTCAAACTCAAATTTAACCCATTATGCAAATTAGAACATTGATACAGAGTTTCATTCTATACAACCAATAACTTAAAAAGTATATCAGCTAAACTGACATGCACGTATACAATGCATACAAACCATATTTATGGTATACTAAAACAAGTTTGTAGTGGCATATTTTTACAAATAAACTAAACATGATAGTATTTATACATATATATTCAATGTGATCTTCTATGTGCAGATGAATATCACCACTGCAGTAGTTGTGGTATGTTACTAGTTCTTCTCAATGTTTGGATTCAATACAAACACGGGTCTCGGTACAAAACAATTTTGTTCAAACTGATACACCTAACTTTATCACAGCTTCTACGGCAATGTGTTAGTGCAAGACAATTGACTGGTACAGGAACATTGACCAAAAGCTGGATCTTGCTTTGGCTGTGGGATTTTGGATACATATCATACCATGCTTTGATAGTGTGCACGTTTTATATGCTGTTGAAAGGATTATATTTACTTTCCGGGATATTTGCTGCCCTTAACAAAAGTATGTAGCAGACATCATTGCATGCTCAGAGAATTGATGAGGTCAGCTTTATCTCTGCTATCAAATTGGTCTGCTACCACCAGCCTCTCCAACTCGTGTAACATCTGTTATCGTATGTGCATCCTCACGATCAAATGCAACATTTACTTTAAAAGAAATATCAATGAGTTGCTTGAACACAGCGGATGTAAATATGCCAGCACGATCTCCAAATGATCTTACTTCTGATGACAATTGCGCTTGGCCATATATTATGGTACATTTGTTTCCTAGTAGGCTTTGTTGATTGCAGCAGCTCTAACGTAACAGCTGGAACTAGGAATGGTGACATTTCTTGAGAGAGCATTTGATTTAGATCAACTTCAGGAAGTGCATCTTGGTATACTAATAAACATTGTTCTTGCAGGGTTTGACTCTTGAATTGTTGTAACTTGTAAATGGAATTCTGTACTGAATTTTGTGTACAGAGATGAGTTATCTCGCAGTGATTAATATTAACTACACGACGAATGTACAGTCGATAATAGCAAATTTAAAAGTCAATAGCAATATCAGGTTTAGCCAAACGCGCTACGTCTTTGTTTTCTTGGTTGTTAACACAAAACCTTTTTAATAAAAAATATTCTGCACATCATGATTGGCTATCTGCTTTATTCTGGAAGGTCAACCCATCGTTCATTATAGGTGAGTATTCAACATCTTCTTCATCTTCTACACAAATATTATCAACAAAGCGACTATGGAAAGTGTGTTCTGATCTGATTATTCCAATGAGGTCACCACCGGCTTTTTTCTGGTCAGTTGTTAGATGACTAAATGTGTATTGTAATTACCTCACAACTAGATATATGTACATCAGGATGTGTTGTTTCTAACTGCATTACACTGTAAGAAACACTGATTCCCATCATGTGTGATTCTGTGAATGGTCACCAATCGCAACCCATTCCTGCATAGAAGTAAAAGCTAATGTTGATTTAACTAAGGACAACGTAAACAATGATGTATGCTACAAAATCTAATATCTGCATTTATTTTTTACTTAAGGAAATAAGAGGAAATCTGGTCAAAGGTTCATATTTTGTTTTATTAATCGATATATCACTCCCTATTAGTATATTCTTTCAGTACAACTAAAACAATAGTATTAATGTTCTTCTTTACGTAAATTGGGGAGAAAATTGAGCAGAGCAAGCTGACTTCCATTTGTCATTTGAAATGCAAACAACCACTTATCTATTTACATAATCCAAATGATAGATAAATTGTGAACAACAGCATCACGTTGCTTCAAGTAATCTGTTATCTCTACAGCTTAGGTGTTTGCTGTAAATGAAAGCCCATCTTATCAGTTTATGTTATATCGTCAGTGTCAGCAGTTTCCGTACACACAAATTCATTATTGGAAGAGCGTACGCAAAACCAACATATATTTTTTCGGCAAGGCTAGGCAACATAATTTTAACATGAGAAGGAAGAGATGGCGTTTAAAAAAAAGTATTTTGAACCCATGAGTGAAGTGAAACGGGTCCGACTGATTGGGTACAGATTGGGTACTTCAGATACCCAAGGGGCATTGCAAAGAGTATAACAATAGCAACATTTCCGCGGGTGGCTTAACCGGAACAGGGTCGCGGGGTTCGCTCCCTCGAGAAAATTTTGTGTCAGCAAAATTTTCCCCTCAAAATACACGAAATTGCGTTTCAGAGGGTCTATATTTCATTTTTTTTCAAGGGGGAGGATACCCCCGGACCCTATAGTATGGGCAACCTTCGGTGCAGGGCTGGTGATTAGATCTGGCCCTCCCATGCAAACTTTCTTGCCTGCGCCTCTGGGTTTTTGACTCAACTTGGAATAATATGATTCCGATTGTGCTTTCACATCTCAAATGTGACGCACTTATTCATTTATAGTCGTGAAAAGTATAGATGCAGGTATCTGGGTACTCGGAGTGAATTTATATTTTTAGCTTTTTCTTACTCAGTCAGTCATCGCTAGATAGTGTTAAAATTTCGGAGCATTGTCAATGCTGAACATACTCAAAAATCGATTTTAAAATATAGGGAACAGAGACACGCGTCCCGAAAGTTTGTTTGCGTTGCTCTTTAATTGACAAGTCACTGTTGATGTTATATGCAAATGAGTTGCTGGCCTCAGTTTCGGTGTGGCGATGTGCAACATCCTGTCCTGGACCCTTTTTATTTACCTCAAGTGTTGTAAACTAGCCTCCTAAACTACAAAAAACAGACAAGATATAGACGCTTCCACTGTTCAAGCGGGGTTAAAAAACGTACAGTTGTAAATGATAAGTAAATTTTTTCACCTTTATCTCGCAAAATGTCGACAACTTCTAGTCTGGCAGCTTCCAGTGGAATACTGTTAAATAATTCATTTTTTCATTTATTTTCACGCATTTTTTTTCTCCAAAGGCATTTTAACACTGAAGTAAACATTTTTTTTGTTTCGATGTAACGGTCACCATGCTGATAGCTTTGCGATGCAATGAATAAACACCATTGATGTGCTGTCATCGATAACTAATTGCTCAGTGTCGAAATACACAAACTTAAAATACTCGGTTAATTAAAAACAAAAAAATACCCTGGAAATTACAGACAAATCGGCAACGAGATGCTGTTTTTAAACACCGCGGAAAATCAAGCACTCTGCAATACCATTTCCATAGGTTAGGGTTCGTTTAATTTTTATCGACTCGTATCGTCTGTAGTTGAATAAAACGTGTCTCGATTTACTATTGTTTCCCTCTCAATGCGACTTCATTTCGAATTGGTATCACCGGCGTTTGAGCGATTGAGTTGTTTAAAATGCGAATAGCCCTTGTGTAACAAAATATCTCGGCACATTTCAACCGGGTCCTCCAGGCCCGTAGTTTGGGTGGGTTCGGGGGGTTCGGTCGAACCCCCTAAATTTTGGAAGTGAATAGATTTATGGTCGTAGATTAGAACATAATAAAACAAACAGAATTAATTAAAATAATTATCATCGTTTAAATCACTTGACTCAGTGAGGTAACTATCGGACTCGGTCGAAATTGCTTAGCAATGAGCATTTAGGTGACAACGAGCTTTAAATGTCAATCGTGAAGTTACGCCGTCTCAGTTCAACAGCTGCCAATCAAAACTGGTTGTTATAAATGGGACAGCTTTTATTCGGTGATTCCACGATGGTGTAATGAAGATCGCGTTCAAGCAGCTGATGTTAAATATTAAAGCAACATTGAAACAATAATGTAATGGTAGTCACTCTCTGAAGGATGTGGTGGTCCTGAATAGATCCGTTTGTCTTGTGCTAGTGTTCGCTCAGTTAGTAAAGTGTGGGGTTCGAACGGGATTGAGATGACAACACCACACTGTACTTTCCTAGTTCGGTTCATTAGTTTTGTATTCTTCAAGTTAATGACGGCATATATACTGTTTTGTTCTAAGTCAGCCAAATGTAGTCAACCTTTTGTATTAGTACGTGTAGCCTGTGTTATTGAACATAGTGTACAGCTAAGGGTTGAAAACATCATTAAAAAAATGACGAATATTTATCATCACGAGTTGTATAGGTTGAAGAGCTTCTTGCAGCCAAAAAATTATCCCACAGTGTTGCTTCAGCACTGAAACTATGCGATAAATCATATTTTTCAAACATATTTTTTTACACGTTTTTTTGATGTCTTGGAAAATTTTCTATATTTTTAGTGGGTTCATAAAAAGGAGATGTAGCCATTGAAGTTTATTGAGACCGCTGCTAAACTGCCACTGTATGCATATTATTTTACCGCCCTCTAAAAACAGATTTACAGTAAACCAACAAATTTACGTACTGCAAGAAACTTGGTAGTATGCCATTGGTTAGTGCATTTAATTTGTTTGATGCAATCATTGTGCCAGCTATTTCTTATGGTAGCGATATTGGGGTACCAACATTTGGAAATCGAGAGGGTACAGACAACATTTTGCAGATATCTACTTAGCA